GGAGAACTTTGGCTGTGCAATATCGTTTTTATTTTGTTGATATCACTTATACGAAAAAAGTTCTTATTGTTTCAAAATCCATTATTATTTATTATTTATGTTTTTCAAACTTCAATAATTTTTTTTAAAGTTAACGAAGATAACGAAAAAATAAATATTAATTAAAATAATTAAATATATATTACTATATATTAATTATAAAAATAATATGTAAGAATATGGAAGTAAAATAGTTTACATTGCAATTTATTATAGAAAACAATATTACATAACTACCTATTTACAAATTACAATAAAATCCGTTTCGTAAATGTATTTTTGTTTGTGTAACCAATAAGCGTATCACCGTTGAAATTTTTAAGAAGATTTTACTTACAAAATTTAACAACACTTTCCATAGAATTGTATTTCTGTAATTTAATTTTACACATCAATGCCCAAACCTTGATTAATTAATCATTACTTGTAATAATTTCTTGTAAAACCATTTGTTTTTAAAATGTTTTTCGGCTTGACAATGTTTGGGCCGTTTGGGGGGAGTGCTCAGCCTTCAAAAGTTATGTTTTTTCTAGACTACTGAACACCCGTATTAACCAATATTAATCCGAATAATAAAGGTTATCAAACATTCAAACCTGAACTTTTGTTTAAATTTTTTATTCCGGTGTTTAAACACCCAAATACATGCAGCACTCAAAACACGAAACCAAAATAAATGATTCAGGTAGTAAGCCCAGTTTAATAAAAAATCCATAAGATTGCACACTTGCACATGTAATATACATAATACACACATTTTAATTATAATTGTATATAAACACTATCTAATGTCTAAACCTAATGAAAAATAATGATAAATTTATCATTATTAAATATTTTATAATGTTTTATCTAGAATATATCACACACATCATAAAGAGGGGAAGAGACATTATTATAATTTATAGTGAATAAAATCATAAACATTCTATGTCATAGTTGTACCAATCGCTTTACATTCACAAGCAAGTCAACACAACTTCAAAATATTGTAATTTTACGAAAACAGGTAGTGTATACATTATTAAATTGTTTTATTTTATTTTATTTTATTTATTTTTTGATAAATACTTATAGTTGCGAAGAATAATTGTGTTATTTGACAATAAAAATAGCTTAATATATGAAATGGTAAAAATAGTAAAATATTGTTAAGAATACAGTATAAAGGTGGGCAAGTGGATGTCGCTCTGCTGTACAGTAGGTTACAAGTGAGTCGATGTAATGGTTTTTTTTTAATGCACAGTTTTTTTTTATAAGCATTTAAAGATCGAATTTTGACAAAATTTATCAAAATCTCGAAAATTATCAATCATTGTAATTAATAAATTATAAAATGTTCAGTTTTTATAGCTAAGGATTGCAAATTCAAAACAAAGGTTCTCATAAATAGTTCATACTGTAACCAAAAAATTTAATTTTAAATTCATTTTAAATTCAAATTTGGACGAAATTACATATTAAAAAACCTAGAATAACTATTTTAGTTATTTTGTTGTGATTGAATAATATTATTCGTGGGTACTTGAAACTTCTAGGTACTTGTATCACGGTTTTTGTTGATGTATAACGCGTTATAAGTACCTAATGGATATTGTGATATGATTAATTTGGAATTTATTATAGGTACCTATTAAAGGTCAATTTCTTGTTTTATACCATAGATATATATTTAATATGTCTTATACATAGACCGACATACCGTCTCCGCTCAGAATCGTTTTTCTTATACAATGATATTATATCGTTGAATTCAAATTTAATATCATCCATTATACAGTGACCCACTTGTAACCTACTGTACAGCAGAGCGACACCCACTTGCCCACCTTTTTAAAATTGTTTCACTGATATTGTAACAATATATCAGGAGCCTTGTATTACATTTTCACATATTATTACCCAACAAATAAATTTTATTGATAATTATAGAAAAAAAAACTAAAATTGAAAGCAGACAATGTCCGTAAACAGCTCAAAAAGAGTCAACATTTTATGGTGTATAGAAAATGAAAATATAAACAGTCAGTGAAATTTTCATGTACTTATCTTAATCTTAGTGGTGAAGCCCCCTAAAACATTTAATAAATTCTTTTTAAGCAAATGCTATATCATTATGTCTTCAGCCGCCAAAACTCAAATGCTGTTTTCACCTATGACATTGATGCATTATTATTTATTGTACATGTACAACCTTAATAATCTGTATTATGTTATACAACTATCAATTTATTCTAATAATAAAGGGCGTGATCGGTATCATAATTTCATTATATGTTACATAGGTCAAACATCATTATTGTGTTGATAATATTAAAAATAATACATTGGACTTGAAAAATTCTGTTATTGAAACGGTTTTTATCTTCTTAATAGTTGTTCATAATATTTATTATGTATAGTAGTTTTTTATGCATGGATCCAAAAGATCTAAAATACTTTCAAAATTATATCATTCCTAGAAAACTAATATATAAATACTTTGTAATAATATCAACTACCTAGGTATCTCAAATTTTATTTTCAATAATAAAAGAAAGGTGGGCAACTGGACAAGTGCTTGTACAAATAATCAAATTTAATAATTAAAATAAATTAAATTCAAAAATATATCATGAATTCATGACTATAAATAACATTACTTTCCAGTAAAATTTTTTTTGTTAAAAGTAGAAAAACTTATGAGGAATTTCTATCAAATTTTAGATTCTGAGTGAAACGATGAATGTATTGATTTTACAATGATGTGTGTTTTTTTTTTAATTTTTTTTAATTTTTTTATTTATTTTTTTATTTTTATATTTATTTTTTTTGTGTCTGTGTACACGATAAGTAGTCGAAATAATGCTTCGATTTTCGACTTCAGTATCTTGTTCGATTGGAAAGTGAATATCGTTGGTGCATTGGGGAGGTCAAAATTTAAATTTCCCAGTAGTTTTCACAAGCGCCGGGAAAAACAACATAAAAATTAAGGAAAAACGGGAATTTTTACGCAAAATTGATTTTCCAAAAAATCGATTTTGGTTATTGGTGTAACTCTAAAACAAATGAACGTATATACATGAAATTTTCACTGGTTGTTTATATTTGCATTTTCTATACACGATAACATTTTCAAAATATTTTGATTTATTTTGAACTGTTTAGGGACATTTTCATTTTCCATTTTTTTTTAGTTTTTTTTCTAAAAATTTCAATAAAATTTTATTTGTTGGTTGCGAAAGCTTGAAAATTTAATAGAAGGCTCCTAATATGTTGTTTCAAAGGCAGATGAAAAATATTAAAAATCCTTAGTCACAATTTTTTTTTATAAGCATTTAAAGTTCAAAAATTGACAAAATATGGAAAAATCACGAAAATTAGCAAATTATTTTGAGTTAAGAATTCGTAAAAATTTTTCTTTTTAAATCTAAGATTTGAAAATCTAATACAAGATTACTCATAAGATTGTCTACCTTTATCAATAAAAAAATTTCTACCGGAAAGTCAAATTAAATTTTTATGAGCGTTTGAAATTCAAATTTTTACAACATTGGATATTCACTCGATTTCTCATGTGGCAATTTCCTTTTTTTGTTGTAATTAAAAAACGAATTACTGTAGATACATGAAAATTTCACTGAATGTTTATATTAGCATTTCCTATACACCCTACAATTTTGAAAATATTTTGACACTTTTTGAGCCGTTTACGGACATTTTCAGTTTTCAATTTTTTTTAGTTTTTTTTTTCTATAAATATCAATTAAGTTTTATCTGTTGGGCCAAAAAGTGTAAAAATTTAATACAAGGCTCCTGATATATTGTTACAATATCAGTTGAAAAATATTAAAAATACATAGGCACAATTTTTTTTATAAGCATTTTAACATAGAATTTTGATAGAATTTTTCAAAATCTCGAAAATTATTAATCATCGTAATTAATAAATTATAAAATGTTCAGTTTTTATAGCTAAGGATTGAAAATTTAAAACAAGATTCCACGTAAGTAGTTAATTCTCTTACCGAAAAATCTAAAAAATATACAATCACAGTTTACTTTTATAGTCATTTTATGTTCAAATTTGGACGAAATTACATATTAAAAAACCTAGTTATTTTGTTGTGATTATATAATATTATTCGTGGGTACCTACTTGAAACTTCTAAAGTGTACTATTATATATATATATGATAGTATCAGGGTTTGTTGTTGATGTTGATGTATAACGTGTTATAAGTACCTAATGGATATTGTGATAATGTGATATGATTAATTTGGAATTTATTATAGGTCAATTTTTTTTTTAATACCATAGATATGTATATAATTTGTATTAAACCTAGACGGACATACCGTCTTGGCTCAGAATCGTTTTTCTTATACAATGATATTGTATCATTGAATTCAAATTTAATAGCATCCATTATACAGTGACCCACTTGTAACCTACTGTACAGCAGAGCGACATCCACTTACCCACCTTTTTAAATGTTAGCTATGAAAAGAAAAGGGTTTATGAATTCCTAACTGAAAAATAATTTACGAATTTTGTCAAATATTGAACTTTAAATGTATAGGTATATGAAATAATAATGCCTATGTATCTTTAATAATTTTGAACTTCTATTAAAACAACTTATACTGAGGAATCTTATATTAAATGTCCAACATTTTTTAAATTTTTCCAAGATACCACCCAACAGATCCAAAGATTGAATTTTCACTGCTCCAAAACCTGATAACAGACATAAACATGTAATTAAAATCTTACAATATATTCACTGCTATTCACTCATCTCCAAATAGAATCTGAAATGTGAATATTTCTATAATTGAAAGTTGAAACATAGAAATTTATCATAATCTATATTATATACCTACTTTCTATTTAATTAAAACCATGCACAATAACATTGTATTTATTGCACCATATAAGATTTAATTATATAAGTAAAGAATTTTTTTATTTCAGAAAAATGATTGATCATCCGAATCCATTGAGAATTTTACCAGTGGCAATCTTCATAATATTTTTACTAACCGAAGGATTGTGCCGAAAATCTCATTCAAAAAATATTATATTAGAAAGTAATGGTTTTTTTTGCGTATCTACACAAACACGTACATTAATAATAATACATGCTATGTATAAAATTGATTTAAATTCAAGGTTTAATTACATGCAGATTACGTGGATATTCAATAAACAGTATTTTATAAAACAACTTAGTAAAGGCTCACAATACTCCATTAAAACGTAATATAACTACGTAAAAATACGTATACGTATAATTAACTTAGTCTCACAAAAAAAAAAAAACATTACCCCAGTTAAAAATGTATTAAAAAAATCATTACACGATATTATTGTTGTTGAACTAAGTCATTAGGTGGATAGGTAATTATATATAAGATTATAAAAAAGTTTGATATCTCAAATCATAACGATCAATGGTATACCGTATACCTATAAAAAAACTCTTTTCAGAATAAGAACGCACCAGATTTACGTAACAAAACCAGTTTTGTCCGTGGCCGCCTGGTTCCTTCTTATTCTGAAAAGAGTATAGTGCTTGAATGAGTTGTGACGTGGGGGACTTCTTTTCAGAAAAATATTTATGGTACCTACTAATTATTCTAATTATATTCTAATCAATATGACATATTTTAAATTTACATTTTTTTTACCCTTTCTATTTTTCCCCAATTCAAACACTGTGTATACAAAGTACCAACATCATATTACTATTATATAATAATTCAAAAATGAATAATTTGCAATTATTTCAGAATTGAAAAAATAATGGATAGGTATATGATATCAGTGATATCAAACTGACTGATTACTGATTAGGTACATTCATTTTTATGATGACTGATAAAAATGTAACGCTATTCAAATGAATACTCATATTCCCATAAATAGAGATATTGTTACGAATTTACGATTGCATAATTTCACTATTTATCTTATTTTCTAAACAGTTGTATTTTTTTTCTTTTTAGATGAAGAAGATGTCATTGTTTTAACCAAAAAAGGTAGCAATTTAAAAGTAAAATGTCATTATTCTGAAGGCTACGAGCCCGATGATTATGAATGGAAAAAAATTAAAGACAACAGACATTTTGCGGTTTTACCAACTGAAACTTTGTCCACATCACAGTGGTACCTATATAATTACTATGATACTTATCCAATAATTAAACGAGTAGGTATCTTTAAATTGTAATTATGATTGTCTTAAACGGTTATAAATAGGTTGGATTTAGTAAATGTGAGATTCGATGATGAAGGACAATATTCTTGCATAATGAATGGTTTTAAAGGGAATGAAACGTTTTCCGAAAAGCGTGATTTTGTTTTGAAAACTACAAATTATACTAGGGAGCCTTATGGAAAAATGAAACCAAAGTTTCAGAAAGTTTTCACGGAGGATGTACCGTTATTTGTAAACAGGACACTACATCTGAATTGTCCATTCACAAGTAAGTGATTATGCAATATATTTCATAAACAATAATATTCAATATTAATAAATATTATAATATTTTCTTTGCGACTTCTGTATTATTGCATTCATAGATTTTTGAATGATATCAAACTGCTTATAAAGGTATACAAACTTATGAAGAATCTTGTATTACATTTTCAAATCTTAGATGTAAAAATTAAATTTTTATGAATTTATAACTCATAATAATTTGCAAATTTTCGTTATTTTTACGTATTTTGTCAATATTTGAACTTTAAATGCTTATAAAAAAAAAATTGTGGCTATAGATCTTTAATTTTTTTCATCTGCCTTTGAAAACATAAATTGTATTAAATTTTCAAGCTTTTTTACCCAACAAATAAAATTTTATTGACAATCATAGAAAAAAAAACTAAAATTGATAATATCCGTAAACAGCTGAAAACAAGTCAAAATATTTGGAAAATGTTACGGTGTATAGAAAATGCTAATATAAATATTCAGTCAAAATTGCATGTACCTACGGTCATTTGTTTAAGAGTTGCACCAAAAACCAAAATCGATTTTTTCGAAAATAGATTTTGCGTACAAATTCCTGTTATTCCTAAATTTTTCTTTTGTTTTTCACGGCGCTTTTGAAAACTTCTGGGAAATTTTTACTTTTGACCTCCCCAAATTTCCAACTAGATTCACTTTCCAGTTGAAGAAAATCTAAGCATTTTTACTGTCCTAAAAGGTGATGACAGACAAAAAATAAATAAATAAAAAGTAATAAAAAAAAAAAAAAAGTTCCCTGCTGTACAGTAGGTTACAAGTGGGTCACTTTATAATGGATAATATTAAATTTGAATTCAATGGTATAATATCATTGAATAAGAAAAACGGTTCTGAGTGGAGACGGTATGTCAGTCTAGGTATAACTCTAAGACATATTATATACTTACCTATTGTATTAAAAAAAATTTACCTGAAATAGGTACCTATAATAAATTCCAAATTAATCATATCACAATATCCATTTAAGACTTAAGTACCCATGAATAATATTACACAATCACAACAAAATAACTAAAATAGTTATTCTAGGTTTGTAGATTCTGAGTGGAACGATGAATGTATTGATTTTACAATGATGTGTGTTTTTTATTTATTTATTTTTTATTTTGTGTCTGTCATCACCTTTTAGGACAGTAAAAGTGCTTGGATTTTCTGATAGGAAAGTGAATCTAGTTGGTACTTTGGGGGGGTCAAAAGTAAAAATTTCCCGTAGTTTTCAAAAGCGCCGTGAAAAACAAAAGAAAAATTAAGGAAAAACGGGAATTGTTACTCAAAATCTGTCTTCGAGAAAATCGATTTTGGTTTTTGGTGTAACTTTAAAACAAATGACCGTAGATACATGAAATTTTCACTGGTTGTTTATATTTCAATTTTCCATACATGATAACATTTTTTAAATATTTTGAGTTATTTTAATTTAGTTTTTTTTTCTATAATTATTATGATTGAAAATTTAAAACAAGGTTCTACGTAAATAGGTTATATATAAATTACTTTATTCACCTTAGTATCATCAAATATACTTAGTAATATCATAGGCTGACTAACCGTTTTCTCTCAGAATCGTTTTTCTTATACAATGATGTTATATCATTGAATTCAAATTTAATACCATCCATTATACAGTGACCCACTTGTAACATACTGTACAGCAGAGCACCTTTTTTTTAATGTAATTTTGTCCAAAGTTGAACTTAAAATGACTATAAAAATAAACTGTGCATATGTATTTTTTAGATATTTTGGTAACAGAATTAACTGCTTACGTGGAATCTTGTTTTAAATTTTCAATCCTTAGATATAAAAGTTGAATATTTTATAAATTTTTAACTAAAAAATAATTATTCAATTTTAAATTTGATAAATTTTGTCAAAATTCGAACTTTAAATGCTTATAAAAAAAAATTGTGAAATGACACACAAGTATATACAATACGTATAATAGTATTAGGTATCTACTAATTTTACAAAACTGTTCAGAACGTCTAATGAACGTGATATATATTATTATATTTAATTTGTACTCACATTATTCATTTTGTACATGATTATATTTTTCGGGACTTGGGAAATTAAGGCGTTCATCATAAATAAATACAATAACTATTTGATGTGTTTATCAAAAATTATTTATAAATATAGGTACCTAAAATACTTAATGCTTAACTGCAGGTACTAGTGATACACAGTTTTCTTGGTCTAAAAATAACGAATTACTCAATGAAAAAAAAGCAATAATTGAAGGTTTTGGAGCTATCGATAATGAGTACAGTTTAAAGCTTTCAAAATTGTCAGATGCTGGAAATTATACGTGCGTGGTGAAAAACAAATACGGTTCAATCCAAAACCAATTCACTGTAATTGTTTACGGTACCTAATGACGATTAGCAAATTTTTGAATATTTGATCAATTGCTATAATTTAATTTCAGATGATGAAAACAAAAAGCCTCTTTCTTTCGAATATCCTCGAGATTTGTCATTAAAGTCGGGAGACAGCGCAATGTTTTTTTGCCATGCTTTTGATTACGGCAATAAAGAAATCAACTGGTACTTTTTAAATAGTACAAACCCAATGAACATAGACATAGAAACTGTGGATCTTTCACAATTTAAAAAGATGGACAATGACATTGACGTGAGATTATGTCATTATGATTATTATATATATAATTGAAACTTATCTTATTCTTAATTTAGTATGTGATAGCAATTTACATTTTACATACCTACCTCATCAATATTGTATTTTGTGAATTAGGTAATATAAATTATAAATATTTGTAACTTTTCTTAGTTACATACAACTAATTCGGTTAGTGTGTAAATGTGTATTCAATAAAATCACAATAGATACTCTATTAATACATTTTACTGTTTTAGTTTGTAGATATAAACATTAAAAACAATTTTTTTTAATTTTTAACATATTGGTATATACCTTCAGGTGACATTGTTAAGTGGCAAGTTGATAATCGATCCTGTGACAATCCATGATGCTGGATGGTATATTTGTGTTCAAAAAGGATTTGAAAGACCTTTAATGGCCGAAGCCCAATTGATCGTGGAAAAAAGTTTGAGTATAACTACAATCATTAATATTTATAAACTATAACATTCGATAACACTAAGATATTAATATCGTACAATCTTAGTTGAACATAAAACAATTTTAAAACTATTTGAAAAAAGATTTACGACTGTTACTTAAGAATTAGGAAAAGCTAACTTAAACTGCAGAATATGCAAATAATTACGCAACACCAGTTTTCACCAAAATCAACTTTGTTATTTTTTTTAGTTACTTAGAAGTTAGAACTATTATTTTTGTTTATGTAATTTTTTTTTTAGTCAAAGTAACATCAGTTGAGGATACGAATCAAGACGAAAATATCTCTGATGACAAACATTTTGTATTGAGTCTTTTACCGATGTTATCCACACTTCCAATGGACAAGAAACTCAAAGCTCGAATAGCTATTGAAACTTTGGTGCACAACATAGCTTTCCCAGATCTGAATGCAGCAGAAAATACTCACGCTGAAGAAAAGAATACCACGGAAAAATCGTCTACCAATACTGATAGTATTATAACGATCTAATGAGCACCGGCCTAGGAAGCGTTCACCATAACATAATTCAAATTGTAGATGCGGTTGTTATAATTTAAAGTAACAATAAACTATAAAGGAATGTAATAATTAAAATAAACAAATTAAGAAATAATTTTAAATAATATATTGCATTAACAGGAACTTAACTGCAAATCGGAATAATGCCTCCTCAGTCCTCCTGAACCACGTTTATTATAATCTATTAGCTATGATATTGGCGTATTATGAGTACCTACCTATTAAGCCACTAAATATCCTATATAGGCTATAAGTCTTATAAACGAATTTTTATCACCTTCGACACCACTGGAGACGATCCTATAGTCCATGTGTTGCTTCAGAAATTAGTGTAACATAGTTAAAAACAGGAAACTTCTTTTGAACGGTACACATGGGTTAATATCAATTAATTTAAAAAATGAGAGGAAGTTATCCGGAATTATTTATTATTGATACTTTTATTATTTTTTATTTGACAGATCGATCGATAATTGTTTATAGTATTGTTTTTATCCAGGTAAAACTTGTGAGTGAATTAATAAATTATTAACAATTAATTAAATATACTAGATGTTAACTGATATTGGGCTCTCAGTATAGATGCTATAATAATCGATCATTAATTATTCATATTAATTAGTATGGGCCAATATAGATGAATCTGTTTTTTATTTTGCAACGTTTATATAATATTTATTCACAGCAAAAAAAAGTCACTTAACTAACGCGGCTCACGACCACCACTTACCTCTCAACGCTTGTACCTCTTAATTTTTTTTATTTGATATTTTTAATAAATTCACTTACAAATCTTTTTCTGGATAAAAACAATACTACAAACGATTATCTATCGATCTGGATAACTTACTTTCATTTTTTGGATTAATTAATAATAACAAACTGCGAAGTAACAAACATTTTGAACGTCAGTACAATATTCTACAAATTTATTACAAACTATTCATTACACACACTATTATTATTTACGTCGTTTCCGGCTAATCACATAGTAATGAATCAAACAACACGACCAAATGTCAACAAACGCCGGCATGTATATTTATTTGTATAAGTCACTATAACATAATATGTGTAAGGTATATATATAATATTATATACATACACTGTACGAGGAGCATGGTATATAGATACGCGTGTTGTGGTACCCTAACCCAACGCGTTATGGGAGTCGAACACGGACTAAGATATACAGAACTGGTAACGATAAGGCTGGAGGGTGGTAGAGTGCTGGATACCAAATGTTTTCAATAGGTACATGTGGGACACCTAGCGTTATCTAGTAGGCTTATAGCTCATCTACCATTACTTCTCTATAAATACATTGGCACAGAAAAATAAATTACATTGGTCTCATTGCATATTTTATATTCATTCCATTAGTAAATAGTAGAGTATTTAGACTTTAGAAATTTACTAGAGAAATTTACTACTTACTAGAGCGTCTAGATCTACTACTTGATTTATTTAAATAGTTACGACTATTTTCTACATTTGTGTTGAAATTATAAAATTAAAATGCCTCGCCAGTGTTCAGTATTTTTATGTACCACTTAGGAACGGTCCAATGTTCAGTTGTTTAAAGTTCGAGAATCGTGGGAGGAAATTATTAATGAAGTAAATGGTAATCATAAACGTAAAGTGACATACGTGAATACGTCTGTATAGAACATTTTAGGAAAGAAGATTTGATTAACAGTTATAGTGGGTGTAATGACTTGGAAGTAAGAAAACATAATTATTTGTATTTAGCCATTTAGGTAGGTACTATATAAGTACCTACTTGGTCATTATAAATTATAACTCAATAATTCTATACACAGTTTAAAAGGAATTTAATTGGGTAAAAAAAGGTGCTTTTCCATCAGTATTTAATTCACCATTTAAAACAAAACAAATGATTTGCCTGCAGAATTTCGAGAATCTTGTACACCTGTTACTGAGTAATTTAGGAAAGAATTGTTTGGTGAACCCAAGCCTAAGAGATTATGTCAAACACCAACATTAATAGTATGTTTGTGATTAATTGTCATAATAGACCATGTAGATTATTTAATTTATATATACCTACCTAACTTCATAGTTCATATGATTTATTAAAAGAATCAAAACTGTGGTATGAAGGTTTATTATTGCCAGTTGGTTGGTCATTATATCATGATGGATGTATTGTTGCATTGTATAAGCTGATTTTGTTATTGAAAAACAAATTGTTTTTGAATCAAATAGTTTAAAAGTGAGCTATTATGTTAATCAAAAGCTTCGAAATCCTGAAAATTTGGGTCTACAACAATTAACATACCCACTTGAATACTTGATACATTGCAAATTACTGAAACCCTTCAATTGTTTGAGCAAAAAGAAATATGCCAAGGAGGTCCCAGTGTCATACATTTTTCAGGTATGAGTTTTAAATGTTAAATAAAACAGCTGTATAGGTACCTACCTAAACCAATTTTTATTTAGGAATTCGGGTTAAGAATACTTATTTAGAGAATACAACATGGCGCCATAATAAATGTTCTATTCTAACAAGTTCAAAAAAAAAGATGTAAAAGGTGCAATTCATTGTTCCCTTATTTTAGAGAGGATAAAAAAAGATTATCTATAAGAACAAAAACATATGTTGGAACAACTCTCACTCCTACAAGACACAAAATAATTAAAGGGATGATAAAAAAATCGAAAAATGTTAAGAAATCCAACAATAGGTAAACTTAATTTAAACTAATTACCTATTTATTTATTAAAACACTTTATAATATTTTATTTTTCAAATGTTTAAATTAAAAATTAACCAATTAAATTGTACATTGAGTGAACTACAAGATAAATCAAAGAACTTAACAAATAAATCATTAAATGATTTAGTTGAACATACAAACTTAAATAGTTCACCAAAAACAATAGTCCAAGAAATCGTAAATGCTAGTAAAGTCACCAACTTAAAAAATAGACGTTATTCAGAGAATTGGATTTTATTATGCATGTTGTTGAAAATAAGGTAAAAATATTCACTTAGACAAAGAGTAGTCAAAAATATTAATTATTAATTTTTTTTGAGATCACCTTCCACTTATGGATTTTTAAGGGAACAAGTATATCTTAGTCCGTGGTTTTGGGGTAGAAAAAAAAACTGTAATGGAATGTAATACCCAATGGTTTTTAACTCTTCGCCATTCTCTCAAGCCGACTGAACTCCGAAAGTTGAAATACAACAGTTTTTAGTGTGCATAAATCATTGTTTGATCATCAGTTTGCAGTAGGTATAATTAAATATATATTTTTTTCCAACGTAAAAGGTTTTATCAGTTATTTTATTATTAACTTTGAATTGTTGTATTGCTATTGAAGTGTAATATTTGATATTAGGAATGCGTAAATAAAATTGTTTACAACAATATTATACAAATTAAAATTTACAGCGTAATATGTGTAACGGCATAGGTATTTCTGTATAATATGTAACATTATTAAATCTCGTTTTTAATGAAAATATTCTCTTTTCCTTTTGATAACGTAAAATATCTTAATCAGATTATTGTAAAAAAATAATTTCACTATAAACGATTTTATTATTTAAAATGTATAGATACGTATATTATAATATAATTAATTGCTTTAAAACATGTTTAATTGATACACAGTTGTTAAAATCGACTTTTATAATAATTATCTGAAATCACATATTTTTAATGAATGTCTTTTTTTAGAATTTGGTATAGCAGGTATATGTAATCTCGTATTGAATAAATAAAATATAAATGCTAACAAGTAAATTGTAATATATGTATTTATACATAGTATTTTTTTATCGGGGTATATTATGGGTTATAGTGTAAACATCATATTATTTAAATATTATCGAGACAAAAATTTTAAAATACCTACTCGAAGTTATATCGTGATGATTATTTTAATTTAATTTAATTTTTTTATCATATTTAATTTATATGCTTGAGTGTATAGTCGTATGGATTTAATATTTAAAGTTCATAATACCTACTTAATATGGTTTACACGTTTTTATTTTTTCTATAAAATATAACATAATATTAAAGTTTAAACACTGTTTTTGGCATTGTATGTTTAACTAAAAGTTATTTTAAAATTTAAGGACGTGTTATAATCAATATTGATGTGAGCAATAACTAATATTGATTTATATTCTATATTCGGATCTAACTTTAAAATATATATTTGCTACCTTTGTAATATGTATAATGATGTACCTATTTCAGTGCAAAATCTAATGTTATGCCTATGTTAATATATTAGTGTACACTGTACCTTCAACTGTCAAAACTTACATACCGTCAAAAAGTGATTTCCTATAGTACTAAAGATAGGTATCAAGTTTGGTTCGGATTAGGACTTTACAACTCAAGTCAATAATTATGTAGAAAATATAAATTAAATATATATATATATTAACACATAGGTGGGGATTTAATGGTTCCAACCTAAACCGAAATGTTTTCAAACAATGTTATTTTTCGACATGCAGTATTATATTGTATTATTTTACCTATGTAGAATACAATTTTGAATTTTTTAAATATTATTTTGTAATAATAAATTTGTATCAGCTATTTGAGTCAATTTGACTATATTAACGTTCAAGCGTTCTACACAATACATATTATTATTTACAATTCTTGTATGGTTTGTTTTTTTAGTCGTTAAATCTGTAAAAATTGAACTAAACGAAAAAAAAAAGAAACAAATTTTTTTTTGTTTTCACAAAATATGTTTATTATAACAAAAAGGCCGCGAATAAGAAGAAAAAAAAACCGAAATTAAAATGTGTGAACAACTTAACAATTTTGAATTTTGAAATAACTTAAATTTAAAGAAAAAAAATACGACAGACAGGATAGACACAATAAACAAGGGGGGAGGATGCGAGATGGCGATTGGTGCAGAAATGCAGTGTTGCTGGCCACTGGTCACCTCTGCACGTTTTCCGA